TAGAAAACCATTGGAAAACTAGCTGGGAGTACTGGACAGTTGTTTCGTCCTAGTTTGGGACTCTTCATAGTGGTGGCATTAACAAAAATAATATCGAATTCAAACTCTCTATAGTACAGCAGTATAAAGAAGGGACATTAGAGGCCTTACATGGAATTCTCAATGAGTCTAGAATTAGGGTGGTATTTAAACCAACCAACTACCACACTCTCTGAGAGATAAATTTTGTCGGCTTAAGGACCTAATAGACCCAATTACGAAAAAATAATATAATTTACGAAATACCATATAATATTGACTGTGAGGTTAATTATATAGCTGAAACACAAGTCAATCAGTTAATTGGAACATAAAAATTTAGCTAGATCTAGGATGATTGACCCTACTAAGTTAAATAACCTAGAAAAAAAGCTTAGCCACTGCATTGCATTCACTTGTATGTAATCAAAAAATAGGGTGGGTGGAACAGGGTGAAAGTATTAAAGAGTAATATAATTAGGTGGCGAGAGAGATTCATCACTGAGGCTTTGTTTATCGATTCAACACCGCTCACGTACAATCGGAATGACACAATGCCTATACGAGAAATATGGAAAGTAGCAATAAACAACAAGGGGAAGAGAGAGAAAAGTACATATATAAAGCAAATCATGAAGCAGTGTGACTAAACTGATTTGATCACCAGCTAGCTATACACTGTATTATGTCAAATAAACTAATCTAATATGGCACCATTGTCATTTGCCTTCTTTTACATCATAAAAACCTACTGTATATCATAAAATGACTACAACTTACCACCTGACTTACAATTCTAATGTTACACAATATTACAGAAGAAGCGGTGACAGCTGAAGTTATTACCTAAAAGACAAAAAGAAAAACAACCTCCAGTTGCATACCACCAGCTGACATAAGGTATAACAAACAGGAATCTTAGTTTTATTATGGTGTGGCGAGTGCTACTGACGAGATTTTGTAAGTAGTATACTGTATATGATGTCTTCTGTAAAAATATTGAATAATTATTATATTATTATTTCCTTTAATTCCTAGAGGAACATAGGGATTCGGCCGCGCGTCTCCACTGCGTTCGGTCTCTGACAACGTTTTCACCTGGCTCCAAGTCTGCCCACATGCTTTCATCTCCTCTTCACATGACCTCCTCCAAGTCACCCTTGCACTGACGACCAACTCGCCGCTTCCCTTTCGGGTTCCACTCGAGGGCTTGTCTAGTGATGTCACTTGATGGTTTGTTTCCTCAGAGTATGGCCAATCCATCTCCATTTCTTCCTGCATATTTCTTGCACAATTGGTTCCTGCTGGGTTGGCTCGCTCATTACCAGAGATAACTCCCTGTTGCTGATTTTTTCTGGCCGGCCATCTGATCTTGAGTGGTACTGAGCGAAGGCAATTGTTAATGAAGGTCTGTAGTTTGTTTGAGATGCTCTTTATGACGCGCAGTGCAAGTCTCTGATCCGTATAGTAGCACTGACTCTACAGTGGGACTGAAAATCCGCATCTTATTTTTCATGCTGAGTGCTGTTGACCGGAGTAGGTCACTGACTCTCCCGTTGACAATTTTGTGAGTCCATTCCCGTTCCATCTGCTTTCACATATTCCCAGTACTTGGATTCCGTATCTTTTCATTTCGTTTGCGATCTGGGCAGCTTTGCCAGTCTCGTACATGGTGCGGACATTCCATGTCCCCACAAAGACTTCTTCTTCTGGCGCAACGAGTTTCATCGTGCTGAAGTTTCTGTAGCAGCTTTGTTTACAGGGTGGGGTTGCTAGCCTCACGCCTGAGAAGGGGATTGTTTACATTAAAATATAGTTCAGAGAGAAGCGACCTTGTGGGTTGCTCCCCTTAAAACCAGGAAAACAAGGAATAAAGCAATCAGTGTAACAACAGAAGACAAGGGCCAGGCAACAGATCAGTTTTATTACGAAAACCAACAGGTATTTATATGTATTTTACGTACATTAATAAGGCTCTGCCCGCAGAAAGAAGGCGGTCTTCTGATTGGTTGTTTGCAAACAAACGCAGTCTTCTGCTTTCTCGTTTTCGATATTTCTCGGAAATGCGAGCCACTTGTCTGCGAATCATATTTGTCCACGTCTAGGTCAGCTGTGATCGGTTGTTGAATCAGCCTAGATTAATTTCCACCAATCAGCGTAGATCAATGTCTACCAATTGGCTAGCAGCTTGCTCTCACCACATCAGTACAACACCAGCAAAAGGAAAATAATTCACAACAGGAAGGGCAACAAGCGACAACAACAATAAAAAAACAAAACCTTAGCAGTAGTATCACAGTCAGATACAGTTAACAAAAATGATACCAAAATCATAGACTCACTGACTTGAGCCAACTTGGACATGTAAATCCATCAATATATATAATTATAAATATTAGTTAGTGTTAGACAATCACAAAAATGGCTAGCAGATAGTTATAGGTATCATCGGTCAACAAGATTATTTCCAAAGATTCAGTGTTCGAAAGGCAAATAATTAATATAAGTTCCACAACTTTTTGGCAAGAAAATCCACAGAAACAAGAGTTTTATGTATGTAAGTAAATGTAGCGTAATAATCGAAAAGCGCGTCAAGGTCTATTTGAATAACAGAAAAATGAATGAAATGCAGAAAAGAAGAAATGAAAATCCTTGTATGAAACAAGATAGAAAGCATGCAAAGAAGACACAAAAAGAGGCACAATATACGGAGAACATGTACAAAAGGAAATTTTACGATATCTGTAAATCACTTTATCAATGAACAATTCGCAAAATGTACCCATTAATTCATAAGGAAAAACACAGCTTTTGTTCAGCAAAGAAATAATTCTTTTCAACGACTTCATTTTCAAGCTGTACAGTCATATTTATATTACGGAAAAAGGCATTGATGTCACACAAAATCGAAGACTTACAAGCGAAAACCGACAAACTGGTCGGAGAGGCTGGCAGCAAAGACAGGACTCCAGGTGAACATAGACAAGACGGAGGTTATGAAAATAACCAACCAACAACAACAACAGCAACATCCAGCGCCAATCACCATCAATGGGAGGGATTTGAAAGAGGTGACTTCATTCACTTATCTAGGGAGCATTGTCTCAACTACAGGCAGATGGCACGGACGAGGATGTCAAATCGAGAATCGGGAAGGCGAGAAACACATTCATCAACTTAAAACCAATCTGGAAATCTTC